TTTAAGAGGAGGTTAGATGAACACCTTGCTGGGGTCGTTTGACCCCAGTACTCTTTCCTGCCATGGCAGGGGGTCGGACTAGATGATCTGCTCAGGTCCCTTCCGACCCTAGAAACTATGAAACTATGAAACCATGAGTTATGGACTTTACACAGAATTACAGGGGGAAATTCTCTGTGCTATGCAGGGGGTTAGACTATATGACCACAATAATCCCCTGTAGCCTTAAAATCTATGGAAAAGTAGTACTCACAGCCTTTGTAGATGTCCGTAGGTATCTGTACAGCAGCATATGAATAGTTAACCTTGGTTTTAAAGTTTGGATCTTCTGTAAACTCCAGCTTCAGGGAGTTGGACTTCTCCTTTTCATATTCTCCATCAACCTCAGGGTCATCCTAGGAAATCAGACAGAATGCACTTGGTCAACACAGTCCCTCTTGAAAAAGGCACAGTGAGAAGGGCTAGGACAGAGTTGGGGTATCAGCCCACAGCTACTTAGATGTGATGAGAATCCCACAGAAGATCAGCAATCAAACAGTGTGTGTCAGCACCCCACCACACAAGTGGATCTTATCTGGGCAGGCCTCATGGATACAGAAATGCCAGTCTGAATGCTTATGCTGCTACAGAACTGTGCAGCTAACACCCATGGGCTGTCTTACCCACCTCACGATCTAACTACCACCCAGGTATGCACACCAGCTGGTGTGATTATGCACAAACAGTCCTAGGCAATATTAGCTGTGGTGCAGTGACTTAACCTCTCACTGCCCATTTTTTAATCACACCAGGAGACACAGATCCAAAAGGCCCTGTAGAAAAGAAGCGGGGACTTAGTTAAAAACACGGGGTTCTCAGTGGGGAGAGTCACTCAGGATGCTACTGAACCCCAAGTGCATCTCCCAGGGTCAGCTCCATGCCACCTGCATCGTGTATGTGTGTTCTGGTCTCTTCTGGATCTCCAGAGTGATGGGCAGCCACAGCAGTGGGTGTGACAGCTGTTCAGGCACTGTTAACAGTTCAGCCCTGTGGCTTCTTTCTCTTTTGCATGAATGTTACCTGTTACTTTTCACAAGAGAAGGGGGCTTGGTCCGCAGCCTTGGACAGAACTTTCCCTTGCCTACAGCCCAGCTACTTTGCCCCAGGCCATTTATTCCTCCCATGAGCTCCCTCTCACCACAAAAGTTGCTGCAATCATATTGCTTGCCTAACATTTGTAAAGCACCTTAGGGTCCTTTGGGGTGAAAGGCACTACTATAAACATGACATTTGATGTTATTATCACTGCCTGCATCAGAGGAATACAAGTGCTCCAACAGGATTCCACATGAGCTTTCCATACGCAGTTCCCTGCCTGGTTTTCTAAACTGCTGCAGATTCCATCTTATTCCTTACTGCACCGCGGGTGGTGGCAGGCTGAGACCGTAATAGCTGGGAATCCCTCCCTTCCAGCCAGTGCTCCTGCCCTGCTCCCCACATCATCTCCTCCTGAGAAAGGCCAGAACTGGAGTTGCTGGAAGCTTCGCCCATAGCCAGTGTCCCTTTTCTGCTCCCTACAGCGCTGTCCCTGCTGGGACAGGCTGAGACTGGATTAGGTGGGTGTTCCCTCCAGCCAACTCCCCTCCACTAATCCCAGCAGTGGCTGGAGCTTGGAAAGACTGGGGCCACAGCAGCTATCAGATCCCTTCAGCCTCTCCTGTGGTTTCTCTTAGCGTGTGCAGTGAGGTTGGCGAAGGAGCTGGTGGCGCAGAGCCGATCCCTGGCGCATTCCTCAGCTCTGTTTAACCTTGTCTCTCTGTTTTCAGTGGCACGGCAGGTATTAAATCAGACAAAACCAAAAATTAAAAAAAAAAACCCTTGAAAATCAATTAGCAGCAAAAGGCGACTATCAAAGAACAAATTAAAGCGGAGTGCGGCTTAGTGCTCTGTCAACAAGCAATGCAAACAATATTTAATTATGGTGGAGAGATGGCAAATTCCCCACTGCTGGAGCTGGAACATGCACTTGCTCTTTCACACTCTGCTTCCCTCTCCCTGCCTGGCTCCGAATGCTGTATCCTTGGCAATAGAGCTGGACCAAAGGCTTTTTTGTTGTTTATAAGGAGATTTAAGAGGCAAAAATTCTCCCCTGAGAGCCACAGTGTGACCCTGGGCTCCAGTGAGTTGCTGTCCCTGGGCATGTGGGCACGAGGGAACCTGGGCATACCGGAGGTGCAGAGAATCAGAGCTGAGATGGAAGATGAAGATCTTGAAAGCAGGGCTTCATACTTGGGCCCTAGGGAAAGCTAGCAGGGTGCAGGCCTTACTACAGCACTGAGCAAAAGGCTTAGAGGGTGCTCCTGCTAGAGGTGAAGCTGCCAGCCTAGTGACAGGTGCATTTGCCACACCCTAGCAGAACTTGCCAGCCTACTTGGTTAAAAACCACCTACCCTGGGGTGAGGGAAGTACATCTATTAATTGTTAGAGAGAAGGTTCAGGCTGGACATCAGGAGACATTACGTTACCGTTAGGACTGCCAGGCTTTGGATTGGGCTCCCAAGTGAGGGGGTGCTCCCTCCTACCTTGGGGGTCTTCAAGAGGAGGCTGGACAGATATTTGGCTGGGGTGATATGATCCCAGCACCTGTTTCTGCCTGGGGCAGGGATTTGTACCTGACAATCTGTTTAGGTCCCTTCCGACCCTAAGTACTATGATACTATCTATAAGCAGAGAGCAAAGACAGGGGAGAACACAATGAGGAGCTCACTTGGCAAAATGTTTCTCTGTGGAATGACCTCCTCAGCCCCACAAACATCAGTGATGGGTCTCCCTGCCATGTATGCCCCATAAAAATCCTCTCAGTAGAGGCAGAAGGACAAAAGTGAACAGTTGCTCCTGCCCCAGCTGCAGAAGAGGCTCTCATGACTTCTAGCATGGACCATATCTCAACAGAGAGACTGTCTCCAGGACCCCACCGTTCCCTTGGCAATCACAGAGACAGCTGCCCCCTGCCACTGGCAGCACCTACAACATGGAAAAGCAGCTCTAGCAAAGTACTGCATGGGTCTGTCATACAATGGAACAAATATGGCCAGTATCTCAGGAAAGTAGTCATGAGGGGATTTCCTTAGGGTTGGCATCTAGGAGATCTCTTCAGGACAGTTCACCCCTCTCAGGTGCTGATATATCACATAAGTGAGCACATGAGTGGGGGGAAGGGGAGAAATGTGGGGTTGATGGGGCAGGTGGGTCAGGGATGTCATTGCTCATAGGTTTCCTGGTTTTGCTTCTCAAGATCTACACTGCCCCATGCATCTTTCCCCTAAATTCAGAGGGTCCAAAAGCTCATGGCACACTTGAGATTAAGCTGGAATGGAAACTGAGCAGGCCCAGCCTCCAGCCTATCTTCACTGAATCCGACTCAACTCAAACAAACCATCTCAATTACGCTGAAATGCGAACTGCAGGGAAAAGAAGAGAAATGTTCTCCTGATCTGGCTGGAGAGGGAGTGAATTCTACTTGAAAAGCAGCTCAATACTTTCCCCTTTGTGCTTTTCTCCAGAGTAAAGTACACATCTTTGAGCCTGTATAAGACTCTCTGATTGCAGTAGCAGAGATCATCCTAAGGAAAACGACAGCAGACGTGACTGGAAGAGAGAGCAGCCACAGACATGTCCAGCTTCTATAACACAGGGTCAGTATCAGTCCCCCTACCCTCCAGCCCCATGGGGAAGAGCTTGTCACCATATGGAAGATCCACCCCAATCAGGGGATACAGGAGAAGACATCTCATAGTCCTCCTGACAAGTATGACTGACTGCAAATCACTTCAAATTTCCTGCAACTAAGCTGCAACAGCGCCTCTTGCTTGTTTGGTTTGACAGTTTGGATGAACTTTTAGTTCTTTTCAAGGCCACCAAAAATTTTCCAGAGCTTGTTTTTTCCCCTTTTCTCTCTCCTCTGTTTCTACAGCAGAAGAGGAGGGGTGTGGAAAGTAACAAGAGGAAACTACAATATTTCTGGTTTAAAATAACAGAAGATTGCAAGCAAAACAAAAATCTTCCATGAAGATTTTAACATCACCTACAAGACATTTTATTGGGCTAAAACAAAAATATTTTGACAAAAAAGGCAACTGTGGCTGCATCTACACGAGACACAAATTTTGTGGTAGCTCACAGCTTGTTACTGCTGCACAGCAGCATCACGAGGCACGAACCATGACGCAACACTACTGTGCAGTAGTAACAAGCTACTGCACAGTAAACATCACTAGGCAACTGTGCTGGGATGCTACTGTGTAGTAATCCCGGTTACTTGGTTATGCAAGTACTAAATGACTGTGCAGTAACACCTGACAGTGACCAGTGAGCGTCTTGTGTAGACACATCCTGTTTGTATTAGTGAGGTTCTTGGAGCACAGTTCTCCAAAGGGCTCTATGGCACCTGCTGTTCTGGCTCTGTTGTGCCTGTCACCACAAGATCTGACTCTGCTATAACACCGGCAAACAGCAATATTTATATTCTGTGCGCCAGCTCTTGGGTGGCTTTGGTTTTATCCCTTTTTTGCTGAAACAAGCTGTCTTGGCTCCACTCCCTTTGCCAGTGGGGGCTTTTGCTTTCAGCAGAGAGATATTTCACATGAATATCAGTTTTTCTCCTCCTTTCAGACACAATGGCTTTAATAAATAGAATGGCCTGGCCATGGCTACGTGCCTTTGCTATTGCAGTTTGACCTTTCAAGTGCCTGCAGTCTAGTTTTACTGTCAGAGCTTTCTCCTCTTAACATGGGTTTTCAGAAGGCTGATCACACTCTGTGTCAGCACCTATATCTGCTACTCATTCAAACTCTAGCAAAGCGAACTTCCTTGTGACATCCTGTTAACAAGAAAAACTTGCAAAACTAGATTGCAAAAATAGCAACAAAAAAAAAGAAAAAAAAAAGATTCCCAGTGCACTTCTCAGGGCCATGGCAGAATGAACATCCTCTGTAGCTCTGCTGTCCTCACCTAGAGTCCCAGAAGGGTCAGCTCCCAGCCAGTGATGCCGCCGAAACAAGGGGGAAGATATACATCTGGATAGGGTCGTGACTACACAGACAGTGTCCATAGACAAGTTCTTTCTGCAATTTTCAGTCCTGCCTTGCGGAATGATATACATCAGATAGCCAGCAGAAGCCAGGCAGACACCTACAGAGCCTACCAAAACTGCAGCCAAGGAGCAGAGGAGAGGGACCAACCCTGCTGTGGAGCAGAGAGCCCCGCCCAGCTCAGAGAGCATGCTGGGATGCTGGGAGAGTCTCACTGAATTTAAACCAGCAAAGGGTCTGGGACAGACATTGCATAAACCAGTTTCAGCCAAATCAGTTAAGTCTGATACTTATTCAATTAGGTTTATCTCAAACCGGTTTCAGCC